TCTGTCTGTCTGTCTGTCTGTCTCTCTCTCTCTCTCTCTCTTCTCTCTCTCTCTCCTTCTCTGTCTCTCTTCTCTCTCTCTCTCTCTCTCTCTCTCTCTCTCTCTCTCTCTCTCTCTCTCTCTAGGACTCTTATAGCCCAGGCTAGCCTTAAACTTGGTATGCAGCCAAGAATGACTTTGAACTTCAGTCTTCCTGCCTCCCCCTCAATAGTGCTCAGAACATAGTCATACATCTCCACCAGGGTTTATGTGGTAGGTACTGGGGAGGGAACCCAAGACTTTGCACATACTAAGCAAGCACAACTGAGCCACACCCCCAGTCCCAGTTAGGATAAAACCCATTTTAAGTAAATAATGCACTTAACACTCCTACACCATGTACATCCTTGTTTTATGGCATAGCACACTAGTGCATTGTAGGAGGCATGAAGGTCCTTGTGCTCACAGATAAGCACTAGGGAAACCTGGAATGTTAAACACAAAGTGTTGCTCCTTTCAAAGGGAAGGTGCATAACCGTTATCCACCCAGAAGGCTGGGTGGGTGATTAATAGCCTGGTGACCTTAGTGTTGTGTGGCTCAAACCCCACTGGATCCTTCCCTAGATTCCTATCATGAGTTTGCTTTCCTCAGTCAATCTGTAGAACCCATCTTTATGGAAGGTGTCACATGCATCTTACAAAGAGTGGCAATATAGTCACATCTGATCTTTATTTAGCTTACTTTGTGCATTAGTGTGCACACAGGATTGACTTAATCATCACTGGGAAAGTTTCCACCAAATTGTGCTGTGCTTAAATATGCCTATAATAAACCACTCAGGGTCAGACTCTCAAAGTTTGAACGAACATGGCTACCTGGTTGTGCTGAACCAAAGTACCTTCTTGCCACCCATGGATTTTTGTTCTGCTTGCTGTAGTGATCACAGAGAAATCCCCCACCCCACACCCACACCTTGAAGCCTCCACACCTCCTCCAGTGCATCACTTGCTTCCCTTTGTGGTTGCATGGCTGGCTAGTAGGCAAGATTCTATGACACTAACCAAATTGTAAGAGAGTATTGTGTAACTACTGTTAAGTTAAAAAAAAAAAAATCCCAATTCCAAATCCTGAGTCCTTGGGGCTGTTGAGATGGCTCAGTGGGTAAGAGTTGCTTGCCATTAAGGCTGATGATCTTAGTTCAAACCCCTGGACTCACATGGTAGAAGGAAGGGACTGACTCCCACAAGTTGTCTTCTGACCTCCTGTGCCATGACTCACAAACACACACAAAATAGATAAGTGTGAAAAAAATCGTTATTTCAGCCATTGTAAGCCAAAGACTTATGTAGGAGGCACCATCTCATTGGTGCTCAGGATGGGTACGAAAGGGCATTTAGAGCTCTACTCCTAGGGTTAGTTCTGCTCCCAGCCCCTAACTCCATGGAAACACCAATCTTGTCGCCCAGGTGTGTCTAGCATGGTAGACTTGTTGGTTGGCAAGAGGCCTCCATTCTTACTACAGAACAGCCCTGTGCCGGGCATTGGTGGCGCACGCCTTTAATCCCAGCACTCGGGAGGCAGAGGCAGGGGGATCTCTGTGAGTTTGAGGCCAGCCTGGTCTCCAGAGCGAGTGCTAGGATAGGCTCCAAAGCTACACAGAGAAACCCTGTCTCGAAAAAAAAAAAAAAAAAAAAAAAAAAAACCAGAAAAAAAAAAAAAAAAAGAACAGCCCTGTGTGACTGCCTACGTTTTGTCAGGACAGGACAGCTGGTGTCCCCAAAAGCACATGATCTAAGAGAGGGAAGGGAAAGCATCAGTGTCCTTCAGAACTCAGCGTCTTTCTTTTATCTTATTGGTGTATCCAAAAGTTTAATTGGTTCTGTGTGGAAATTATGCAGTATTATAATAAAGCAGACTCTGAAGACACTACAATCCAACTAAAGACCTGGAAAGTTCTGCCATTCCCTCTCCATTGCAGCTGAAGTGTTCCCCTGGGCTCTGTGTGTGCCAACTCTCTTTCCAGCTCCGTTGGACTTTGACCATGGAGTTTTCTCATGCACACTGCTATGTAATAGTCTTGCTATTCATGTAATCCCAGCCAGGTTCTGTTGGCTCCCATACGGAACAATGCATCTGGAACCTTTGCCCACCCTGCACCTGGCCTATGGACCCAGGTTCAATAGCAATGGCAGGAATTAGAGATTACACATCTTCATTTTTCTTCTCAACTCTGTCTCTACCTCCCCAGGGGACCCTGGGAAAGCTCTTCTTCCCTATATTAGAGCAACACACTAGTTCTTGTCCCCTCCTGACCTAGTTGGTTGTTAGAAGAGTGCACATGACACTGGCTTTATGCATTATAATGCTTTAACCCAGCCCCTATATCCGACAGAACTCAGTAGCTAGACTAATTGTCAGCTATGCCCTGAATGCTGGGGAAGGCAATTATGTCACCAGACAGCATTCCCTGTGTGTATATGTGAATCCTTCCTGGTGCCTTGCATTGGGGTAGTTTCAAGTTTTGCCTGGCCTTTGCTTTTCTAGGTGTTATATAATATCGCTTTTATGCATGCCAAGAAAGAGGAATGGAAAAAGGCAGAAGAGCAGTTAGCATTGGCAACAAACATGAAGTCTGAACCCAGGCATTCCAAAATTGACAAGGCCATGGAAAGCATCTGGGTGAGTGTGATGGTGGGAAGGGTATCCTTGGAGTCCCATTTGTTTCCTAGGACACCATGATGGGGAACATTTTCTTTGTTGGTTCTGGCTAATAAATGCTCTTTCAACATCTTCTATCCTGAATCCGAGCTGAGAAGCCACATGCTAGAGAATGGAACAGCACAGTCCCTAGATCTCTCATAGTGGGGCCCTGGGCAATGCCTGCAGTTTCTTGGTGCGGTGTAGTCTCCAAGCACTGTGAAGACAGAGGCTGTGTTTTTCTGTTTACTTTTGCATCCTCACTGTCTGGAACAGTGCCAGGCTCAATGTGGCTCCCACAAAAATATTCCAGTTCTAGAAGTAATTATGAAAAAATATTATTCATAGTTTGATTTCACTTGGGAGCCAAAGTCATTTTTCTTTCTTTGGTGATACTTTATTTTAAATTATGTGTCTATGTGTGAGAATGTGAGTGTGTGGGTAGGTGGCCATAGCAACCAGAGGGTGTTGAATCCTCTGGAGCTGGAGGTGTACACAGATGTGAGCTGTCTGATGTGGATGCTGAGAAGCAAACTCTGGTCCTCTGGAAGAGAAGAAAGTGCTCTTAACTTCTGAGTTACCTTCCACCACCCCCCAAAAGGTAGTTCTAAATAAGCTATATTTAAACAACAAGAAGGGGGGCTCAAGTTTGTGTATGCCTGTGTCCATGAACAATACTAGTCCCAAGAGAGCACTGTTACAACCCTTGTGCAGTTCTTGAGCCACCCTTGTAGTGGTGCCCTCTATGCTGGGAGAGAAACTCAAGAAACCACACCCAGTGGGAAAGGGTCAGTGCTCTAGAAAAAGAGTATTGGGTGGATAATACCAACATAAAATGATGTTAAAGCCAACTGCTTCCAGTGGGCAACCAAGAGCAATGGAAACAGTCTGTATTGTTTTGGAGGTCTCTTGGACATCCCTGACATTTTTTTATCTGACAACCCACAATTTCTGGGATGAACATAACCTTTTGTTTAGGATAGCTCCAACAGGACCCCATTGCTTAAGACAACACACACATGGGTCACAGGACATGGAGAAATCAAGTTGGTACTGACCAAGAAGTTTCCTCCATGCTGGCTAGCTCTAATAGTACTAGAGAGTTCTGTGCAGGCTTCTGGGAGAAGCCTTGTGTCTTGCACAGCTGTGAGCCTTGTGAAATGAAATAATCCGTGTTGCGAAGAGATGCCCATGGGTGCAATTGCGGCATGAATGCTATGGGGTAACCAACTGCTTTATGCCTGAACGTAAGGCCCATTCCATAGGAGGAAACAACCATTGTTGGGGAGCTCACAGATGCCAAAAGTGAACCTACTTATATTACTTCGCCAAACAGGCATAGTATCAATGTCTTAGTTAGGATTTCTATTGCTATGAAGAGACAGGATGACCATGGCAACTCTTTTGAAGGAAAACATTTCATTGGAGCTGGCTTACATTTTGAGAGATTTAGTCCATTATCATCATGGCAGGAAGCAGGGTGGTACGCAGGCAGACTTGGTGATGGAGAAGCAGATGAGAATTCTACATCTTGATCTGCAGGCAACAGGAAGTGAATGGTCTCTACACTGAGCATAGCTTGAACATAGGAGCCCTGAAAACCTACCCTCACAGTGGCACACTTCCTTCAACGAGGCCACAGGTACTCTAACAAAGCCAGACCTCCTACTAGTGCCACTCCCTATGGGCTTATGGGGGCCAATTACATTCAAACCACCACAATCGCACTGCCCCCTAAACTTGTATCCCTCTCCCCGTAGTTTACTGCAGCTCTCGGTTCTGCCTGTGCAGTGAAGTGGTGGATGGTGGTTAACACACATGGTGTTGACACAGGCAATAACCCAATTGCTCCAAGTGCAGAGAATCAGTGGCAAGTAGTGCTCAGCCACAAATGAGACACCTGTGTCACATTCCAGCCCCAAGGCGCAAGGCCATCGCAGAAGAGGTGGCCTGAAAAAAACTCTAAGATCCAGAGGTCATGGAGGATCAGAACAAAATAGTATTTTATAGACAGGACAGGACCATTGCACCGAACATAGAGCAGAATATCAAGCCAGTCAACACTGTAGCACGGAGTAGAAAGGGGTTCATGGGCCTCATCTCTAACTGAAGAGCTATGGACAGCTGGTGGCTTCTAGGGGAAGGGAGAGCCAAGTTTTAATTAAGGGCGTGGCTCTGGTAGGTCAACCATTCGCCAATTGATAGTCACACACAGGAGTATATGAATAACACAAATTGGAGCCGAGGGGTTATTTAAAAAAAAAAAAAGTCCATACAAGGTGGCACACACCTTCAATCCTAGCACTCTAGAGGCACGGACAGACAGATCTCTATGAATTCCAAGCCAGCCTGGTCTACACAGTGAGTTCCAAGCCAGCTAAGGCTATACAGTAAGACTCTGTTTCAAACAAATAAACAAAGGACACTAAGTTATGGGGGAGTAGCCGGGCGGTGGTGGCATACACCTTTAATCCCAGCACTAGGGAGGCAGAGGCAGGCGGATCTCTGTGAGTTCCAGATCAGCCTGGTCTACAAGAGCTAGTTCCAGGACAGCCTCCAAAGCCACAGAGAAACCCTCACCTCCTTACTCTACATAACTTTTTTGTTTGGTTTTTGTTTGTTTTTCGAGACAGGGTTTCTCTGTGGCTTTGGAGGCTGCCCTGGAACTCTCTTTGAAGACCAGGCTGGCCTTGAACTCACAGAGATCTGCCTGCGTCTGCCTCCTGAGTGCTGGGGATTAAAAGCGTGCGCCACCACTGCCAGGCTCAAAACAGAAATTCTCAAAGAATTAATAAATCCAACCACTCCTGCTGAGCATTCTAGAATAACAAGTCTCTATGGTTTGAAAAAGATGTTCTGTTGAGACTATTTCCAATGATCCATTTGAGGAGGAAAGCGGGAATGGTTTCATCACTTGCATTTCCAGATGAGGAGATACAATTGTGAGAGGATGTATTATAGATGTTTTAGTGAATCAATGGGCCACATTCCACAGGGCTGAACCACCAAGGTTGTATAAGCACACTCTATGATGCTCACACAAGGTCACCTAACAGCACATTGCTCAGAATGAACCCAATACTGCTGAGTGACAGGTGATTGTCCTTTCTATTACAGAAGCAGAAACTGTTTGAGCCCGTTGTGATCCCTGTGGGTAGGCTGTTCCGGCCAAATGAGAGGCAGGTGGCCCAGCTGGCCAAGAAGGACTATCTGGGCAAGGCTACGGTAAGTGGGACCACTCATCTCTCTGCCTCTCCTGTGCCCTGGACTACGTGGGGCCAGGCAGACATGTCCCTGCTGTGGCATTCAGGGATGACAATTAGGATCTTGCTGACAGTAAAGAATGAATGCTTCCAGTTTCTTCCATCATCCTGGCCAGCCATCAGTAACTCCTGAGGTTCCTGTGGGGATGCTGATTCTCAGGACTGAAGCATAGGGTAACAGACATAGCTAGGGCTCACTGAGAGTTGAGAGACTGTTAGGGTAGAGGGTCATCAGGAGATGCCCTTGGCTCAATGCTCCTGCAATTCGCTGCTCGGAATTCCAGTGAATCACTCCCCTTTTCACAGCTCTATGGCTGGATTCCTTCTTCTGAAGCAGGCTTTCTTCTGAACCCAGGTCTTAAATTTTTTCAGACATGATTTGAAGTGAGGCAGCAGTACTGTTTCCAAACTGCCTTTGACTTTGACAGTTTGGAAATGGGAGTTGTCCGATGGCTGAGCAGCTGGGGCTGGCAGAATCATAGAGACCAACAGAACGTGGATAATGGAAACACCCCAAAGAGCCCTCAATACATGAATAGATATATACAATATGTTATTTCCAGGCAGTGGAATACTACTCACCCACAAGAAGGATAAAGTACTAATGCATGCTACAACATAGACGAAAATCTATGCTGTCTATAAGAAGACCAATACGAATGTCATGTGCTAGGGCTGGTGAGATGGCTCAGTTGTTAAAGTGCTTGCTGTGTAAGCATGAAAAGCAGATTCCAGGTCCCAGGAGCCACTTAATTGCCAGGTAGCCATAGAGTCCTGCCTGTAATTGCAGGCTCAGAAGGCGGAGATGGGCTCCTCTGAGCAAGCTGGCTAGCAATACTAGCCACATTAGTGAGCTCTGAGTTTGACTGAGACCCTGCTTCGATGAATCAGGTGGATACAACTAGGATGATTCTCACATTAACCTTGGGCTTACTTGCATGTTCACACACACAGGCATAAAACACAACATGTGAGCACATGTGCGAGCACACGCGAGCATGCACACACACACACACACACACACAAATGGGGAGAAAAGGCTGTACAATTCTATATAAAGTCTTTAAGTGGGTCAACCCATTGAGATTTAGAAACATGTGTTGCCAGGCTAGGAGAGGAGTCTGTAAACAGCATCTTCTTTTGGGGTGATTAAGATGTTTGGCACCTGTAACGATAAATCTTTCCACCAGCTGCCTGAGCCCCATCACCACATGGTTGCCCAAAATAACACAGAGATTAATATTAGGTACAATGCTGCTGGCCAATGACTAAGATTTCTTATTTGCTAGCTCTGTCTCAAGTATCACCCATAACTATTATTCTATATATTTTATAAACTTATCTTATTGAGGACACTGGCCTTATATCCTGTCTTCCTGGCAGTAGCATGGCGACCCCACAGAGAGGAGAAGAAAAAGGAAGAGCAAGAGCACGACTTCCTGTTTGTCCCTGCTTATATTCTGAGTCTGGCTGTTATGTCACTTCCTGCCTGGATCACAAGACTTTACTACATTTCCCAGAATCCTCCTTGACTCCTAGTCCTGCCTAACTTGCTGCCTCATGTGCCAAACAGTGCTTTATTCAACAACCAATAAGATAAACATATACAGAAGGACGTCCCCCATCAGGCACCAGATAGCATTGCAAAGTCTTGTGGGTGTGTGAAATACCATGAAATTTTCACTTAAAACAGTTAATTTGATGTTACATGAATAACAGATTTTTTTTTTTTTTTTTGGTGAGAAGCACACAGTAATCCTTATCTTCCGTCTCCCTCTGGAACTTATACAAGTGACAGTGTTCTGTGGTGTGAGGAAGGAGGAGATCTTGGGAAAAGACACAGACGATGGACAAGCAGAGCCAACAGCAGCTCACTCACTCCTCTTTGGTCTGTGTTTCAGGTTGTAGCATCCGTGGTTCATCAAGACAACTTTTCTGGCTTTGCCCCTCTGCAGCCGCAGGTGAGGTCAGATCTATCTGGGAAGTAGCCCCAGTGAGAGGAGCTAGGCTGACATACTGTTCATAAGGCTTCCTTCAGCTGTCTCTCAGCAGACCTGAGGGGCTTGCCCTCTATTCCCAGTCCTATTTTACATGGCTGCTCAGGGGTATGGCCATGCCAGCTGTCTTACATTCCCTGAGGCCAACTTGCCAGCTCTCCAAATCCCAGTCCACCCTTCTCAAGTCCTAAGAGACCTGTTGATCACCTTGTGAGACCTTGAGCATTCTCGAAGAACACTGAAATGCGCACCCTGGAAGTCTTGTGACAGTCTCTTTGTGGGTTCTGGAGTGAGTGAGGGGCACAGAGCCTGAGGTATTGATTCTCTTGGCTCTATCCATTTGTTCATGCACAAGAGATTCCTTTGGAGACACAGGCAGGGTACGCTCAGAGATGGTCCCCAATGACAGTGGGTCCAGAGACAAAGACAAAGCTTGTGACAGGAAGATGGTGAAGTAGATTCATGAAAACTCAAGCTTGGTTGCATAACACAGTGATGGGTTAGAGCAGTGATGAGCACTAGCAGAGCAGGAAAGGGCCTTGAACCTGGCCACCCCCCAACCCCCGCCAATTTGCATATACACTTTCTTGGGGCAGGAGGATCACTGCCTGACCATGTGACCCATGCTTGGGCCATGGGGACAGGATGAACACAGGCCAGCATCTAGATTTCTTGTCTTCTTCTAGCATGGTAAAGTTGGAGAAAGCCTGGCTGAGAACTGTTGAGCTTCAGCCCAGCTAGAGGACAAGGAAGTAAAGTCCCAGATAACAGACTCCATGACATTCATTGCAGAACAGGGAACACGTGTTAAAGGGAGACGTGTTGGCCAATAGATACTAAGTTGATTTTAAATATCCAGAAATGTCACACACACACACACACACACACACACACACACACACACACACGCACGCACGCACGCACCACGGCAAACATTAATTATAGATCAAATCTTTTGGAAAATACTGGAATGGGACAAGGCTCTAGGTCAGAGTCCCTCCAGCCAATAACACCTTCTCCAGACACCAGCTCTGGGTCATGACTGTTGCTGTACTGGTGAAGCCCATCCCCAGGCAAGTTGGCAGGGTGCTGGCTCCCAGATTGTGCCTTTTCCCCAGAGACCACCCAGAAATGAAGTCTTTGGTTTGGGATCTGGAATAATGATCAAATTACCAATAACATTGTTTTCTCCTCCCTCCCTTTTCTCCTCCACTTTCTCTTGTCATCCACCCCTTCTTCATTTTTCCTGAATGTTCCACAGGCAGCAGAGCCTCCACCCAGACCCAAAACCCCAGAGATCTTCAGGTAACTTAGATTTAGATCTGCATGGAGAATGCCCACACTCTCCCCCTCACCTGATGGCAGTAAGGATGTGAAGAAATAAAGCTAGGGTCAGGTCTAAACCCTGCGTCCTTTTCTAGGATGTTAGCCTCCTCCTGTTTTCAAGGCTAGAACCAAATGATGGAGTTGGCATCTAACTGTCCTCCTTGTGGTGGGGTGGCCACTGGGGGCCTAGCTGTAGTAACCTGGTATTCCCAATGGGTGTGGCCACTGATAGAATGGGAGGTCATTGATATGAAGTGTGTCCTCTGGAACAGGGCCCAGGTCAGAGGTGAGAGGTCAGTTTTGTAGTGACTACAGGTCCTCGGAAGCTCTCTAGATTCTGGAAGCTATCACAGAGTCTTTTTTTCCTGTGTGACACGTGTTTTCTGAAAAAGGGGAAAGATGCAAGAAAAGGAAGTCACTCTGTAAACCGAGAAGCAGAGTGGCCTCACCTCAGCTTTCTTAAGAGCTCCCTCTGAGGAACAAAGCAAGCTTGGTTCCCCCTCCGAGAAAGGGGGTCAGATAAAGTGTGTGTGTGTATAGGGTGGGTACTACCCACAGGAGGGGCTGAAGGGGCTCATTCCCAAGCTCTCCAGACTGAAGAGGGTGAGTTCCCCACCTCACTGGGCCCAGTGGGCATGAACAGGTGGAACCTGACACCCCACACATGGGCAGTTTCCAAGGCAACCTCAGGCACACATTCCAGGTGACAGAAAGGAAAGCCTCTGGGTGTCGGGTAACCAGGGCCTGGGGAGGTGGGGTGGTCAGTGAAGGAGAAAGGGCAGGCCTAACATAAAGCAAACAGTTGCAGATCCTCCTCTGTGCCTCTCAGTGCCTGGCTCTCCACCCCCTTCCCACAAGCCCCTGATTTCCACCTGTGTCATTCCTCTGGCCATACTTCCTGTCCACCCCAGCCAGGACCTGGGAACTAACTTCCTCCTTAGGAGGGAAGGGAGGATGAGGACTGTCGGGCCTCATTATCTAGTTCTGTTTCTGGTGGTGGTGTTCCACAGTTTTCTTCAGTGTCTCCCTTTACAAACAGTCTTTCTGTTTGCCATTTCAGTTACCTGTGGCCTACCATGACCCAAAACTATAAAGTTCCAAAAATCAATCATCAGTTTTACATTGGGTGTGGCAGCACAAGCCTGTAACCCTAACACACAGGAGGACTGCCACCAGTTTGAGGCCAGCCTGGTCTATTTAGGGAGTTAGAGCTAAATAACAAGACGACCCCCTCCCCATGCTGAAAAAACAAGCAAAGAAACAACTAGAAGATGTTTTAAATTGCTTTGCATTCTGAAGAGTGTGAGGAAATCCCCTCCATCTAGAGTGCTGTCACCCGGAAGTCGTCTGTCTATACAGGACGGTCTGTCACACCAGGAGAGTGGAAAGGGGTTGTCACAGGGGTGGGAGAGTGTAACAGGACCCCTGTGACATGAAAGCAGGGGGCTGGGTTATTTGTGTTTCAAAGGGCACAAGGGTAGACGTGGGATTTGAGAGAAAAGGGGGGAGGAGAATCAATAAAATCAATCTTTATTTGAAAAATGCCATAATGAAACCTAATACTGTGCATGTTAATTTAAACAAAACCAAAACCACAACATGGCCAGCGAGCTGGCTCAGAGGGCTACCTGAGTTGGATTCTCAAAGTCACACAAAGGTGGAAGGAGAGAAATAACTCCGCACAATTGTCCTCCGACCTCCACTTGTGCTTTGTGGCACGTATGTCCCCCAAACACAACAAAGAAAAGAAAACATAGAAATGAAGTGAGTTCAGCAAAATAAAGCAGCCATAGTATCTTTTGAAAAGGATTGCCATGGTATTATGGTGCTTGATCAAGTACCCCTTGTGTTGATTAATGGTGGACCCAAAACACAAGAGTGCTGCCAACACCAGCAATTTGTTTATGACAAAGCTGTAAGGCTGTCTTTTATGTTAAAACATGAAAGTTGACTTAATAGGAAAAAGGGTAGGGTATGGAGGCTCACATTTCTAATCCCTGCCTTTGAGAGGCAGAGGCAGGATTGCTGAAAGCTCGGGCCAGCCTGAGTTACAGAGTGATATCCCATCTCAAAAAACAAAGACAATATAGAGAGGATGAGTGATGGGGGCGGGGTGTTCTACACAACGTGTTCTGTTGACTAAGTGTTACGGAAAAGGAATTTGTGCTAATTCTGCCGGCAACCAGGGATTATAAAAGTTACAGCCACGTGGGTGGTGTGCTCAGTTCATAGGTGAAAGCTGTGCCATGTGTATACCTAGGTGTAGAAGCGTGGGGCATACAAGGGTTGGGTACCATATATGGGTTCACCCATCTCTTGGATTCTTGTGTAGTGTTTCCTGAGGACAAGGGGAACTCCTGTGTGCTTATGGAACGACTCACCTGCGGTTTCTCACCTCATCCTCTCAGGATCCCATGCAGGCTAGCACCCTGCTCTTGTCTCATAGACAGTAAGATGTGGAGTTAGAGTGAGTGCCAAGCTAAGTCTCTGGCCTCCGTTGCTTCTCCTGCAGTAAGGGGATGTGTGTGGTCCAAGCTGAATGATGGGCTGGGTCTTCTGTGTACCCTTCAGGGCTTTGGAAGGTGAGGCACATCGAGTGCTGTTTGGCTTTGTGCCTGAGACACCAGAAGAGCTACAGGTCATGCCAGGGAACATCGTTTTTGTCTTGAAGAAGGGCAGTGATAACTGGGCCACAGTCATGTTCAATGGACAGGTATTTGGAAGGTCATGGGGAGGTGCTAAGGGCATAGGGTCCCAGCAGCAAAGGGCAGAGCTCTTCCATGGGACGGTGGTATCTGCTGCATTATTTGCAGACCTGGGCCATCGTCTGAGTGCTGTCCCTACGCATGGCTGTAGACTGTTCTGTGTTTTGGGTACTAATGAGTCTTTGTTTTCCTTTCTGTGTCCTGGGATGCCACACTGCAGAAGGGGCTTGTCCCTTGCAACTACCTGGAGCCAGTTGAGCTTCGGATCCATCCTCAGTCGCAGCCCCAGGTAATGTAGGCTTAGCCCCGCCCCCCTCACTCCTCACATAGCCCTCCAGAGAGAAGAATATGTGAAAAGGGGCAGTCTTCCTGTCATGGAAGAAAGACTCAACTAGCTCTGGGCCACTTGAGCTGATATCAGATGCCTAGGCCTGACAAGAAAAGATCAGCTATGCCAAGTGGAGGCAACTGTTAGGAATCCACTGGACTCGCCCCACCCTGTGAGTCCTTCTGGTCAGGAAGACTTGGAAAGCGAAGCCTGACCATTAGAGCTAGATGTTCCCAGGCAAGTCTTTTCACCAGGGAGAGTCATCAATGTGTCTGTTACTACAATGCCATTTAAAACAAAGTAAGGGCTGGGGATGTAGTTCAGTTGGCAGAGTGCGTGCGTAGCGTGCATGAAGCCCTGGCTCAATCCCCAGCACTGAATAATTCAGGCACGATGGCATGTGCTCCTAACACTTGGAAAGAGGAGGCAGGAGGATCAGAAGCTTGTCATCCTTAGCTACATGGCCCTCTGAGGACAGCACGTGGTCTGTCTCTTTATAGTGTGTAATGAGATGCACATGTGTGGAACCCTCCCTGGTCAGTCATGAAACTGAGGCACTTCAAAGTTTCAAATGCCCTGCAGATGGGAAGTGAAATTTTCCCTTTCTCTGTACACTCTGCAGTGGGCACAGAAGCACAGCATGCCACCCCACTTTGGTGGGTTTTCAAAATGGCTGATGAGATGGCGTGAAGGGCCTTGTGGGCATTAAGATTCTTACTGCTGCCACGAATTAGCCCCCTTTCCTTAGTCATCTCTCTGTGTCATATCACCCTAACTTTTTAAGTCATTTGCATCCAGTTTCTTTCCAGGGAAGCCCTCATGCTTTTGTCTGACTGTCTCCTCTTGTCACCTCCAGGAGGACACCTCCCTGGAATCTGATATTCCACCTCCTCCTAGTACCAGTGCCCCAGCAAGATCCCAGTTGTCACCAGGTTGGTGGCCCAGGAGCAGGCGCTCTCTGGGATGCTTCATGATGAAGAGCTGCTTTCCTAGCCATCTAGGAAATTCTGGTTTCTTTACCCAGCATGCCTCTTGGCTGATGACTACATTTCCTCAGAGCCCTGTCTTGCCTGCACCATCATGCCACTGGATGGTGATGGCAATGCCCCTCCCCCACCTGCTTAGAAATGAGTGCAGATGAAGGGACAGTTAAGTGCCTGTCATGAGAGCAGTCACCAAATGACCTAAACCAGGTCCAAGAAGAAAGGCAGCAGTAACTGCATTTTCTCACCCCAGCCTTCTTCAAACCACTGAGGTGTATGTGCTCTCCAGACTCTAGGGCTTGAAGAAGGGACCACTCACTGGAAGGTGTGGATGGGAGATCTTTCCAGAAGGATCTCTCTTAAGCTGGGTAGCACTGTCTTGGAAAGCAATGACTTTTTGTTACTGGTGAGTTTAAGCAGATTCTGATGGAGATGACAGAGGTCTTTTTCCATGACTACCTGATTATTGGAGCTGCTTTTATGCCCCTCCCCTGCATATTTATTTGAAAAATTGCAGACCTTCAGAAAAGTTGGAAGTAGGATACAAAGAATACTACAACACTTTTCACTTAAATACACCAGTTATGGGCCAGCAAGGTGGCTCTGTAGTTAAAGGCACTTGCTACATAAACCTGGTGATGACTGCAGTTACCAGAACCTACTTAAAGCAGGAAGTGGAGAATCAACTCCCCAAAGAAATTGTCCTCTGGCTTCTACACACGCCAGGGCACTTGCCCTCCCATCATGCACACATGCTAAAAGAAAAATTTTAAATGTAAACAACATATCAGTACCTCTTTGCCCCTGTGAGCCACTTAAATATAAGTTACAGACCTATGATACAATCTACCTGGGTATAACTCCCCTACGAACAGGCACAGCTTCTGCCTAAGGAATGCATTCTCATCTAGGACACCGCCCGCCTATTCCACGTGTAAATACTTCAGTGGCCCTGTATAGTGTTCATCAAAGCATTTTTGTTCTTACCTTCCCTATCTGGAGGTTCACAAAAGGATACAATGCTGAAGAGATTGAACTACCGGATTCCTAGACCTTTGGTTGATGTTAGCAAAATGTCCCAAGTGATTCTAATCTACTGGGAATGAATTTGTGATTAATGGTTCTTACATCTTGGGTGGTAAATAGTTCCTATTACCCACACACTGCTGAGTTAACATATTATGCATTTTAAAACCACAAACATACTCAACACTACAGGACCATGAAATGGTAAGGTTCTGCTGTTTATGTCTGGGGCTCCGGCTCATGTCACATGACCTCGCTCTGCCTTGGGGCCTACTCGTTTAACCGGCCTTTAGGCCAGTCCTCTGATAGTTAGCAATGCTTCCGAGAAGCAGAGACTGGCTTTGCTCCCATGCTTGTGGTCTCTGAGATTCTTCAGAGTGAGATTTTTAGATGTTAAAGGGTAGGACGCTGGGCATTGTGGGCGGCAGGTGCCACCATGAGTATTCATTTGTTATTTCCTTTCCCATTTAGGTCACAAGCAAAAAGAAGAGCCCAAGGTAAGTTTCTTCCTTCTGTTTCCAAGGGAAGAAAAATGGATGAGTCTGGCTTGGGTTGGGGGATGTCTCTTAGGATCGTAGAATATCAACTAAAAGGGTTGAACCAGTTGCCACCTGACACTGCCTCGACAGGACAGGGACTTCTACACATATCACACTGGCCTCTAGCTGAGAATACAGCTCAGAAACTACTGTGCCAGTGAGTTGGACTAGAGTTCTTTGAAGGCCTCTTGGGGGAATGTGGAAACCAGCTGTTTATTGGTCCTTCTGTTTCCTGGGGCAGTCCTGGGGCTTGCACACAAAGTAGAGGGAGGCTGTGGTGATCCAAGATGCTGCCTTTTGGCTCCTAAGGTGTAATTTGTTCCTCCTTGGTCAGAAAGTGAAGCCCAGTATGCCCATGCCCTACATGCTCAAGGTGCATTACAAATATACGGTGGTCATGGAGACTCAGCTTGGCCTCCCCTACAGCCAGCTTCGGGTCATGGTGTCTAAGAAACTGGGGCTCTTGCCAGGACACACTAAACTGAGGTGAGTGAGCCTCATGAAGGCGGCAGCTGGGGGTACAGCGGGGGTCTTGTGCTGATGTAGACCACAGGCTATGGCGTGCTTTCTGTACTGATACTCTCTGCCTTGCTCTTTACCCATCATCCCTACTAGCTACCGGCCTCGGGACAGCACCGAGCTTCTGCTCCTGTCCGAGGAAACCATGAAGGATGCCTGGAGCCAAGTGAAAAACTACTGCCTGACTCTCTGGTGTGAGCACACAGTGGTGAGTGGAGGGAGCCAACTGAATTCAGCATTTATCCAACATCTCCTTCATGCCAGGCAATAGGCTCAGTGATGGGCACACTGTGGCTTACAGGCTCATTCAGTTACAGCAGGGAGAGGGTTTTATATGAGTGGAACCAGAAGTGGACAGCAAGCCTAAGCTGCCTCCACCAGTTTGGCTAGGTCAAGTATCATGGCCATCACTTTCAAAAAGGACAGGAGTGACATGACTAAGTTGGGCCATAGATACTCTTCACCTTAGGTCTCTATGAGAAACATTTTAGGGGGACAGAATATAGTGAGCATTTACTTACTCAGAGATAACAGTTACTTCCTGAGACTTGGCATCTACTGAGAACTGTCCATGGTCATACCCTGCACCAAGTGCACTCTGGGAAGGAACTCTTTAAAGTCCCCAATGCGCCTATGTTTGTAGGTATATCATGTTTAGGAAGCACGGGAGAGAAAGGTCAAGGGACCTGACCTAGACAATGGAGCTCAGGGGTGGGGTGCCCAGCTTCATGTCTGTATTCAGTCACCATGCTGTAGTGAGAATAGAAGTGCAAGCTCTTACCAGGCATGAAGTCGAGACTGGAGTCATTTGACTTGAAAGTGAGACTCACAGGAGTCAGGAGCAAAGTTAGAGGATAGGCATGACAGTGACAGTGATGGGCGAACAGTTGACCTTTCCCCCCTTAGTTTCCAGAGAGAAGTTCTTATTACTATTTCTTATTATGTCTCCTAAGGGACACAGTCAGCATGAGTGGATTTTACACATGGGTTGCCCTTTCTTTTCGATTATTAAATGGTATATGCTGTACTGATAATTTCAATTTACTCTGTTGGAGAATATTTGCCTAGAAAGGATTTTATTATAAATGGGAATTTCACTTAAAATGTTCTTGTAAATTATTACTTTTTCCTCCGATGAGGCCAATCTGTTTGCATCTATGTGCACTGATCTCCCCCAAACTCCCAACAGAATCCTTCTAGAACTCCATCTAGGCTCATCATGGTTTGGCGTTCTCTGCCACTGTTTTCTGTGGAGGCTGTAAGTTGTTCTCATCCACTAATTAGGAAAAGCAAAGCAAATTGCCATTTACTGTGTATCCACTGCAATATATATCACCAGCCAAATTAAGTACTTCCACATTTTCCAAACAGTGCTGCTCCAGGGTTAGTATTCAGTAGAGGCCAGCTGCTATGATGCCTCACCTCATTTCATTCTCTAGCTTCAACATCAGGTGTGGAACCCGGTCCAGAGAGGCTACACTGCTACTCAGGGACCCACAGCTAGTAAATGGGAGCTGGTATAAAAACCTAGGATTGGGCTATAGAGATGACTCAGCGGTCAGTAGCACTGCTCTTCCAGAGGTCCTAGGTTAGATTCCCAGCACCCACATGGCAGCTCACAACCATCTGTTATTCCAGTCCAGGGAATCTATTGTCCTCTTTTGGTCTCCATGGGCACCAGGCATGCAGGTGGCACACAGACATACATGCAAACAAAAAACATAAAAAAACAAACTAGACCTGCAGACTCAATGGGGGCTATTTCCACCTCACTGCACTGCCTTGGGGAGGACATACAGCCAGGCATAGTACCACACATTTAATCTCAGTACGTAGGAGGCTGGAGCAAGAAGATGACTTCCAGGCAGCCCTGTACTACCCAGAGAGACCCGCCTGCCTCAGAAATGTCTTTTAAAAGTCATGGTTCTGAAGCTTTAGAGAATATGAGGATTACCTAGAGCTAGCACTTAGGAAGAATGTTTTAGTAGGTTTTAGATGGAGTGCAAAAGCTGAATTTCTAACAAGATCCTTAGTGTTTGTGCTAGGAAAAGAGGATGAGTTCAGTGCCAAGAAACTTTAGGGCAGCAGGATGGCTCAGCCTGATGATCTGAGCTCAACTCCCAGAGAACTGACTTGTCCAAGTTGTCCTTTGAGCTACTCATACAACATGGCTCACAGGTACATAAACACACACACACACACACACACACACACACACACACACACACACAGAGAGAGAGAGAGAGAGAGAGAGAGAGAGAGAGAGACAGAGAGAGAGACAGAGACAGAGACAGAGACACAGAGAGAGACACAGAGAGAGACAGAGAGAAGCTAGCTGAATTTATACCATAGATTGTCATTTACTTGTGGCTCAAATTATTTCCCAATATGAAAGGAAAGAACAACACCTACATTAATCACCCTGGGACTATTTTAAGATTTCAGTAAGGCAACTTAGGCCTACTGAGGGTTCTGTACACCTTTCAGTTTCATTTACCCAACCATTTAGTATTCATAAAATATTTTAGGCCTATGCTAAGTTCTGAGCATCAACTGCTTCCATTAGTGGTTTTCAGTATTCACTGGCCAACAAATTAGCAAATTTAATAGGCCCCTTGCTATTTCAGGGTGATCAAGGTTTGATAGACGAACCCAAGGAAAGTGAAAACTTTTCAATTGATGTCAATACCCGGACAGCAGAGCCTCAGCTTAAGGAAGGAAGCCAAGTAACAGCAATCTTCAGTTATGAGGCCACTCAGCCGGAAGACCTGGAGTTTGTGGAAGGAGATGTAATCCTGGTGCTCTCACATGGTAAGTCGTATTCCAAATCACAGAACTGGACTCATGTATCAGTAAAAACAAGGTCAAGGTCAGACAGAGAACATCAACTCTTAAGTCAATAGTTTCAACTGACTTCCTAGCTTTTGGTAAAAGGGTCCACATGCAAGGGTGTGGCTTTCTCTATTAGGGACAAGACTATGACATCATCTTGACTGTTCCAGTATGTAATTGGCTTTAATTGTTCTGCCTTTGCTATAAACCATAAAACCTTTAATTGTACCTTCAGGATAGAAGGGGAGGGCCCATTCTGCAGTAGAGGCACACTTGTGACTTATCTGATTGTTCGGAACCTATGGATTAAGAAGTGAACCAGACTGGAGGGATGGCTCAGTGGGTAGCAGTGGCAGGGCTTTCGGAACAGGGATTCTAGCATTCATGTAAAATCCTGGCTGCGGCCACATTTGTGCCTATAACTCCAGTATTGTGGGAGCAGAGACAGGCATTTTGGTAGGACTGACACCTCAGCTCCAGATCCAGTTAGAGTCCATCTTAAAGGGCTAAGAGAAGACAGACACCCAACTACTTCTGGCCATTGTATGCGCAGAGGCTCTTTACACACAGGTGTGCGCGCATATACACACACACCTTCCCTACACAAAAGTAAAGCATTACGTGAAGAAGTCTCAGTGATTCTCAATGTTCATTATACCTAAGCATCCTTTGAAGGGTTAAGTTTATTGGCCCACCTTCCAGAGTCTGGGTCAGATGTGGGGTGAGGCCCACAAAGTTGCACTTCTCAGCAGTTTCCAAGTGATACTGGTCTAATTATATCAGGAAGTACTGCTGTAATTGAGGTGAGTACTGAGCATCAACTGCTTCCAGATGTTCTCCATCTGTTCACTAATGCTAAGCATCATTAAGGCAAAGTAGTATGTAGCTGTTTATAATAGCAAATCCAATAGACTGAGTGAAAGACTTGCGGTTACCTGGATAGGTGTGTCAGGGTTTCTATTGCTGTGGAAAGACACCAGAACCATGGCAACTCTCATAAGGGAAAACATTTAATTGGGGCTGGCTTACAGTTCAGAGGTTTACTCTATTATCATCATGATGGGAAGCATGGCAGCATGCAGGCAGACGTGACATCAAGGTAGCTTAGAGTTCTACATCTTGATCTGCAGGCAGCAGGAGACTGCCACACAGGGCACAGCTTGAGCGTATGAGACCTCAAAGCTATCCACCCCCCCCCCCAGTGACATACTTCCTCCAAGACCACACCTCCTAACAGTGCCACTCCCTATGTGCCAAGCATTCAAACCCATGAGTCTATGGGGACCATTCCTATTCAAACCACCACAATAGAGTATATACAACTCATTGTGTATAGTGTAGCAACTCAAAGGAGAAAAGCATTTTCTTTCAAAAGAGATTACAAAATCAGTAAGGACTGGGCTTAAGAACCCAGCACCATGTTGTATAACATCTAGCTTTTTGTGTATGTGGTGGTGGTGTTGGGTAAAATAACAATGAGAACACACAAGAAAAACCTTAAGAAGACACCATATCCTATGACACTCATGATAGCCACAGTGGTTTAAGCAGGCAAGTGTCCCTCTGTGCAATCTGTTCTCAAGATAACAATGGGAGACAGAATTTAGCATCTATGGAGATGAAGCTTTAGTGTGTATGACTTGCTGGGATCCTCTTCAAATGGACATTGGCTAACTAAAGCTTGAGATACAGTCAACAGATTCTGCATTTTGGATATGTTCCTAAGACCCAGGCAAGCAGATGCTTCCAACCCATAACCAAACCATAAATAGAAGACTGAAGGTAGTGGTCTGCACCTTAACACTCTAGAGGGAAATTGGGGAATAACTAATGCTTAATCATAGTCTACACTATACTTGTTTTCAAGACAGGGTCTCACTATGTAGCTCTGGCTGACCTAGAACTCACTGAGATTCACCTGCCTGTTTCCCAAGTGTGGTGATTAAAACGGTGTGCACCACTATGCCTGGGACTATAGGAAGTTCTAGTAGCATATCCAAATATGACTTCTGAATGGCTCTTGTATGTTTAAATGGATATAATTAACCTGTATGGTGTGATTTGATGATTACTTTCTGGGTGTCTCTGTCCTTAAAAATGGGGACAATAACTTTTAACTGAGTTACTGTTAAGCCCTGAGTGTGTATTTAGTCACAGTGAACATATCTTATTAAAGGATTATTATAATGCTTGTTTTTACAAATGTACTAAACCCAATTCAATTAACAATTTTTTCCCCCCAAGACAGGGTTTCTCTGTGGCTTTTGGAGGCTGTTCTGGAACTAGCTCTTGTAGTCCAGGCTGGCCTTGAACTCACAGAGATCCGCCTGCCTCTGACTCCTGAGTGCTGGGATTAAAGACGTGCGCCACCACCGCCCAGCCCTAACTCCAAGTTTTAAGGTGTTGATTAATCACTATTGAATTTACCAGCATGCCCTTTCATGTTATCAAAACGAATTCCAGCAAAGCCTAGATAAGATGGTTTCTTAAAAAAAACCTAACAAACCCAAAAACTCCCCTTGATGATTCATGTTCCGTTCTTGTATATTTACAGTAATTCATCCTACATTTTACTCTTATTTATCACATCTACAACAGAACCGGTAGACTTTATGTTCACTTTAACCTCAAATTACTTTCCAGTATGTTACCACAAAGGAAACGGGAAGATGACTAGCTGGGTTAAGTGCTGACACTTATGACAGTGCCATTTTTCCTGTCTTTTAGTAATCGATATATACTTTGCTTTTATCAGTGAATGAAGAATGGCTGGAAGGAGAGTGTAAAGGGAAAGTTGGCATTTTCCCTAAAGCCTTTGTTGAAGAATGTGCAACCAAGGACTTGGAAGGCACTCCCAGAGAAGTCTAGGATGCTCTATAACCCACAAAGCTGAAGAGCGCTAGTGTTTTCAAGATTTACCCATCTCTGCTATGCACCAAAGACATGTTTGGAAATCTTCTCTAACGTAACATTTCCCTATTAAAACTGAACCCATCCCACAGTTGTGAGAATTTGGGATGATTTCCTTGTACATGAGAAGAGGGAGATAAATTTTCTAGAAAGGGAATGAAGGGCTCTTCTTGGGTGCTGGTTACCCAGATATGAACTTCATGAGAACTTCCGGAGTTCTCATGCCAAAGGGTGCATCCTTCTGTTATGAAAATAGAACAGGACAGTGTCCAGACCCAATAGATGATTGGGAATATTCTTCCTGATGTTAAAGCTTAGGTTTCATTAAAGAGGAGCTAGGTTTAATCAGGTACCCATGGAGTAGAAGATTCATTCCCATGGAGAATTAAACTCTCACAATGAAAGCTCTTTATGCCTTGTTAGATGGACACTTACTAAGAGCTGAATAGTAAACACATGGCTCTAGCACCTGAATGATGAAAAGCTGTGTTCAGGAGACAGGCTACAGCCATTGAAATCCTGCTGCTTTACCTGTGCTATTCAACACTAATCCACGTGATAAAACTCATGTCATTTTGGTGGTCCCTGTTACCTGGGAACAAGGATCCCTAAACAGTAGACCTTGGGACAGTACCGCCCTGCCACTCTTTGTAGCACATAGGGCTTTACTATTTTTCAAGTTTGTAGGTGCAAGTGAAGAGCAGGAAGGAAATGGAGTTTTTTGAGTTGTTCTTTGGTTTTTCAAGACAGGGTTTCTCTGTTTAGCCCTGGCTAAACCAGAACTAGCTCTGTAGATCAGGCTGACCTGGAACTCACAGTGATAGGATTAAAGGCATGCATCAACACGGTCCGGCAGGAAGTTAAGTTTTACGTGGAATCACAATCTAGGTGAGAGGCTAGTACACTGTTGAAGTTGCCTTTGGAAACTGGACAAACTGGAAGAGAGACCACCCTATGGCTAACAGTTATCGATGTTGGTGTCAGAGTCAGTGAAGTTTAAAGGCCAGACAATAAACTGAATCACCTCCTGATGAGTTACAAAGTAGATTGTTCCTGCCTTTACAGAAGCCACTCTACTGAAGAAAGAACTGTGGCAGTCTTATTTCTATCATTTTCCAGAACAATTCACTGGAATGCTAAAAAAAAAGCAAAATTAACCCCAAAGCATAGCCAGTTGTGACCATCTTTCTTTGTTCCTGAAGATGGGTGAGTAAGTTCTAAGCTCTGTTTTTACTTCTGTACCTTTAAGGCAGAATGAACACTCCACACAGAGTTGGTTGGAGAGAACACGGTTTAATTAAAGGCAAAGCTGATTTCAGCAGCTGCAGATCTTGCACAGACAGACCGGGGGAAAAAAAAAAAAGAAGAAGAAAAAAAAGACAAACCAAATCAAAACACAAAGGAAAGTATTACACAAAACCAGTTGAAGATTCTCCTCCTCTTCCTCATTACCCCACAGTGAGGATGGCAAGGTGAGGAACCCTGCCGAGAGTCATAAAACATTCCAAACACCAAATTCTCATGCAGACTGGGGCTGAAGATGGGAAGTGGGTACTACTGGGAGGGAGCTGGTAAACCTGTTGGCTGGTCTAAGGTGCAAGAATCAGTGACATTTCCAACATCGGAATGTTGCAGCTGTCTGAATGCAGAGCTTACATACACAAACCGGGTGAAGGGAGCAGGGAAGGAATAGGTAAGAGGACAAAGGTGGACACAGGGAGGGGACTGGAGCAGCACAGAGGGTTTCATTTGCCATTGGGTGGGGGTAGGGAGGGGTTCACTTCCAGACCTTTCAAAAACAAAACAAAACCAAGAAAACCCAAATACCATGTCAAACTAAAAGAGCAATAGTGTAAGTCTGGGGCTCCAAGCACTCTTTCTGAAGAGCAATACCTCACCCCTCTCATTGCCGGGGCAGCCCAGACCCCAGTGACACCCGGGGCTCATGGATGTGCTTTGCTCTACAGCTGTCTTCCAGCTAAGTTCCACACTAACTCCACACTTAGCCCTTGCCCTCTGGGAGAGTAGATGGCCATGTGTGGACACACACACATGCACACACACGCGCACACACACCTACTTCCCAGAAAATAATCCCTATCCTAGCACAGCAATTGGACATTTAGATTGTTTCCATAATTTCCCCTTAAAATATTACTTTTCCAGGAAATGACTAACAGAAATGCTGTCCTTCTGTTCCTACACAGAACATCTTCAGTTCTCTTTCCTCCCAATAAATATCAAATAAAGAGTTTATTCCTTTCTTCCGCCTGTTCCAAAGCGGCGTTCGTTCTGTTTTCTTCTGTGCACAGTGTGCATTTGTCCCTGTTGCCTTCAGTTTTGTTCTTGAGGTGAAGGCTGGGAGCCTGTGACTGGGCAGAGGCCCGGCTCCTCTGTAGCGATGCAGGCACTACTGCTTCCTTCCTCTTCAGACCGTCTTTTGGGCCCCAAGTGCTGGCCCCGTGTTGCTGCTTCTTGGCGAGATGTTGTACACATTAGGGATAAAACAATTACTAGGATACAGCATATGGCTAAAGGGGTGGAGACTGGTGCAAGAGGCTGGTAAGCAGGATGGGGACACAAAACCAACTTAACAAAAAATAACCACACTGAAAGCATCCACCTATTAAAATGTGTTCCAGGCTATGAATGGAATAGCCTGCCTTCTGTGAGACTGCTTGCTACGCTACTGCAAAAGTGTAGGAATCAAAAACATTAATTTGAAATCTTACAGCAGCCACCTGCTGGTCTAGCCCAGCAGCACCACCCACACTGCATCCTCGATTGGGGCTCGAGCACCTACAGAGTGAAGGGCATTTCCTGCTGGAGTTTCCAGGCTGGAGGAAGGCCTACCAGAACCTTCTATGAGGCCTGTACTCTCCCTTATGGAACACTCCCACTGGCTTAAGAGGTCAGTTCCCTGTCCCGTCACCACCGACCTCTCACAGGAGCAGCAAACAGGACTGTCTTTGCTCCACACTGACTAGAAGTACACCTGTGTATGGAAGAATTCAGTGTGATATTTTGCTACTGAGAGTAATAACAATAAAAGATGTTTAAGAATAATTTCAACTACATTCTCAGTCAGCAAAGCACTCATAATGGATTCCTATTTTATTCCCCAAAGAGGAAAAAAGGACTGAGAAGTTCCTATTGGCTTCGCCCATCTGCCTTCCCTTCTCAGCTTCCACTTCCCACGTGTTGGGGACATGCGCGGTGGAGAAGGTGAGAGGCGTGCTGTCAGTAACTGAGCGAGACAAACAGCAGCTCCTCTCTCCTCCGGAAAGCCCCGGGGAACCAGAGTTCCGGATGGGTTTTTTCTTTTTGTTGCACTGCGAACATTTCGTGCACACTCAGCGGGCTGGTGGAACACTTACACCCTCTCGACAGCAAGAAACAGACAAGAGGGCTGCCACCTGCAGGGACTGTGTGGGCCAGTCCTGCAAACCCAACATGCCATGGTTTATGGAGCCTTCATTCCCTGGGTCGCTATTGTGGCCTCAGTGTGGAGGGTTCATGGCACCTTGTCCCCGCTGCTGTTTCTGCTTCTGCTGCATTAACAACTGCTCCAGAGCGGAGGGTCCAGGATGCATCATGGAACTGGACCAGATAGACTGCAAAATAGCCCAGAAAATTGTCAGCAGAGGTCAAATGTCTTGCTTGTCTGACAGGGATCTGTTTTAAATCCTAGCCAGCTGTAAAGGCAAATGTATCCTCTAAGTCCCAAGCAACTCAGCTCTAAGAAAAAGTCACCATGAGACTTGTTCCTAAGATTATTTTAAAACTTCAAACAGTGAAATTGCTGTTTTTGAACCCTAAGGCAGGGTTTAGATATGAACCCTAGACTGGCTTGGAAAGATTATCCCTCTCACCTATACCACTCTGTGATTACAGCATGTACCACCCTTGACTATAAAGGTTTTCGGCAAACAAAACATTTAAAATTATATACTCCTAATTAGTCAAATAAGGTTAAAAATCAAACACACCAAGACAAGCGAGAGTTTTCACACCAGGTTGAAACCAAACCTTGGACACCCCAATACTACACTGGGTTAACCCCATGTTCCTCTCAATCTCAAGGAGGAGAAGGCAGAGATGCTTCCTGCTCCTGCCGTCTACTCACCTTTAGGCTTTCCATGAGGACAGCAGAGGAATCCTCCATGGAGGGGCCATGGCCTGTCCAGGTGCCACTTGGAGTGGTAGCCTGATGCCAACTGCTCTCAGATGATGATGTTGTTGAGAGATAATCAACGCCAAAACCACCCATGGCTAAGAGATGAAAATGGGTAAGAATTCAAAATGTTTTATCATTGGCAAATATCATGCTCCAGGCAAAATTAGAGCAAGTCAGTCACTTTCCTTTTGCCTGGCAGATTAAGAAATGTGAATCTACCTGGTTTATCAGTTTTCCATCGGTCTGCCGGCCGCCTATCCCTGTTATCTGGAGTCCCAATGGGTCCAAAATTAGAGAAAGGAGCAGAATTATGGTTATGTGTTGGAGGAGAACTGGGCAGGCTGCTTGGGTTAGAGGAATGAGGAGACTGGCTGGCTGGTGTTGAATGATCTGTTAAATAACAACATAAGAACATTAATAGGTGTTTCACAAACCAAACCAAGAACTAATGTTTCCTTCAGATGTGATCATCAAAGTGTGAATGAAAGCATTCTAATTAGGCTTTGGAGAAAAGGCCGGACAAAGGCAATCTGTGTCTGACTGCACATATCCAAGGCACATTCTCCACCCTATAAAGGAAACAAATTGCAGACATTTCTGTTCTGTTTCACCTAAATATTTACAATTTTTATCCCTCAGAATATCTTGACCTTAAGGATTATTATAAATTAGAACTTATGAAATTGAAACAAAGGGGGGCATCTTGGTAGTTAAGAGCAGTGGGTGCTCTTCCATAGAATTCGGGAATTTGATTCCCAGCACCCACCATCAAAACCATCCAGTTCCAGGGGATCCAACACCCTCTTCTGGCCTCCATGGGCATTGCACACACATGGGGCACAGACAAACATGCAGGCAAATGCACATACACATAAAGTCCCCAAAAACATTTTTAAAAAGAGAAACACATGATAACAAAAATCCTTCTAGTTACTGAAGGACTAATTCTTAGTCAATATGAAAGAAAGGACAAGGCTGATACCTGAACTGGCAGGAAGTGATGGAGACCAAGGGGTCCCTTCAAAAAGGGAGTACAGTGATGTTTCCTGGGAGGCAACTGAGGGGTTCAGTTCTGCCTTGGAGCTGGTTGTCAGGTTCTTCCCATA